CTGACTGACTGACTGACTTGGCTTACTGCACTACTTTCAATAGAAAGCGCTGCAGTTGGTAATTAAGATTGGCCAACACTAATTGCACATTGATTGACTTTTCTTGTTCGTATTTGTCAATGTGTCATTAGCCATATGCCAGAGCGTTCCAATAACTGTAAATGGCTGCCGTGGAGGCCTACAAAGGCATTTCTCAGCCCCAAATGCCTCAGCTTCGTATTCCTATAGCGTTTGCCGTGCGTTCTTATTGATGTTGTTTCTCTTTTCTTTTTTTTTTTTTTGTGTTTTTATATAATGTTTTGCATAATTTCTTACTTAAGAGTTAATTGAAAAACGAAAGAAGAGAAGAGAGAGAGAGAAAAAAAAAACAAAGTCTGATGACGCGCTTAGCTCAAAGCCCGGCTCAGCCCCAACTCCGGCTGGGCTTCAGTTTCGGTTCCCGACCCAACGCTCAACGCTCGACGCTCCACGGTTCGCTGCGCATTTGCCTAATTAATTTTCTTGGCACAGCAGCAGCAGCGGCAAGGGAGAGGGAGTGGAGTGTGCAGGCATTAATTACGACCACGTTGAGGAACAACTTCCATTAAGACAGCACACACACACGCACGCACACGCACCCAGTCTAGTCAAGCGCTTGCATATTATTTGAAATTAAAACAAATTAGGCAACCTGTAATTTTTTCATTTAGACTATAAAGTGTCCAATAATAAAGTAGGTGTTGCTTGTTGCTGCATTCCCAAAAATTATTTATATGCGGCTAGAGTGAGAGCGAGAGCGGGGTGTGGTGTGGGTATAAATCCACACCTCATGAATTAACAACAAAGCCGCACCGCCCATGAATGCATTGTATTGTGCGGCGCCTAATGCAAATATCGTACAATAGTCGCCGACACAGCCGAAATTTTTGTGTGTGACTGAGGCGATAAGCACCTGTGCGACAAATATTTGTGCTCTGCTCGGCTCATATCTGGCTCTGTAAACGCTATGTCACATCCTGTCGGACGGCCGACTTATCTCTATCTAAAGCTATGCAAGCGGTTTTCATGTTACAATTTTGATTGGCAATTAATGCAGTTTTGGCCACGGCCAGCTGCACGGCCAACGGTTGTTGCTGCTTTAATTTAGACATTTGCAAGAGAGATATGGCCGCCTGCTGAGCCCAGGTGTCTCTGTGTGTCTCCAAGCTCAATAAAATGTCAACACAAATGTTGGCGATTCGCGCAGCGCAGTCGTGTTTAACCAAGTCTCAATATACCCTATGGAAATCTGTGAGAGTTGAAGCTCGAATCGATCATATAATCCACTGTTCATATTAATAGCTAGTAGTTATAATCCCAGATTCCTGCTTAGTTGCAATCGTAAATGCATTGAGTTCATATCCTCTATTTTATTGCAGGGTATTT